GTACTAGTTGAAAACCCTAGGAAAACCCGACGTTTTCCTATCACTTTGCTTTAACGAGTTTATGTGTTATTGTTACGTTACGTTAGAGGTATTCGTTGAGCTCCGGAGGCATTGAGTATACAGTGGGTGGTGAATTGTTGTAACGTCTGTTAATGAAAACGTTCAGTCGACAACCGTACTAGCGATCCCTTAGGCATCACTCGCACTTATTCACACAACTCAATCCTCCCGGACTTGTGTAGTCCCACGACCGAAGAGAAAAAGAGAAGGTGCGAAACCCTCGGTATTTCCCTACGTCGTTCAAGACCATTGCAATTGCGAAGGGCCCGAAGCCCAACTCGCAATCGTGAGTTCCCGACTTTACTAGCAGCACCGAAGGACCCTTGGGGACCAGCAGCACGTTTGCCATTGAAAGTCCTTTTACACGCGGTTAAGTCGTATTAGACCCAACTACATGTAAGCAAGTATCCTTTGGGCCTAAAGATCATGTCATCGGGCTAGCTAGGCTCAACAAGCATGATTTGCAACTTTTGGGCCTAAGGAGTGTACGTCGACATATTGAGTAATTCCACGAGAGTATAGAGTTCCGAGAGTTCCATATGTGTATTGAGCGTTGTAGTGTTAGTAGTTTTGGATTTGTTATTGATTCGAGACCGAATCAATTCGTTTAACAACGATTTTTGGTATTGTTGTGTATTGTGTCGGTAGTCGCGGTGCCAATATTCGATCAAGTTGCGTGTATTGAATTAGCCTTGAAAGTTTTCTGTTTTCAGCCCCTCATTGTTTGTAAAATTTACTTTTTCAACCCTCTAATTAAATAACTTTCCGGTTTGGTCCTTAAATCATTTTTCTTGACATTTTAACACCAAAAATTATTGAAATTAATATTTTTCAGCATATTTTTCATTGAAAACAGTTTAAGTCCCTGAAATTGTAGTTTTCTAGGTTATAACCCCTCTTTTTCGCAGTTTTTACAATTTTGGCCCTAATTGGAAAATTTTTGCAACTTTGGTCCTTTTTAAATTTGAAAAGCATTTTAAACCTTTGAAAAGTACTTGTAACACTAGTAGTCCACTGTTTTTCAGAAAAACACAGTTTTGGCCCTCCAAAACAGAAAAATTCGCATAATGGGCCCTATTGGGCCGAAATTGTCATTTTTAGCCCATTAAGCTTGAAATTTATGTTTTTAATCCTCCAAAAGAGTATATTTTCAGAAAATACATTATGGAAACTGTTTTGACTCATCTCACCCATCAGATTTCGAAATATTTCATTTTGGGCCCTTCAACTTTGTATTTTTAACATTTATGTCAAAAAAAAAAATGAGTTTTTAGCCCAAAGTATGTATTGTTAAGCCACTTAGCTATTTTTCTTGGTATCCTTTGTATGTAGTAGTATGTTTTATGTTAGTATCATTTAACATAAAGTATATCTCGGTTTTTAGTGATTTTTGACTAGATCCAACATCATAATCATACCAAACACACATATAAGCATAGAAATCATACAAAGCATACACATAATGATAGATCTACACCTTTGCTTGTATTCTCCCCCACAAAAACTTATAAAAACCGAAAATAAGGGGGTATGAAGCTCACCTTTGGATGTTGATTCGGTTTTTGAAGAGAGGATGGAAGAAAAACTTGGTGATTTTCGACCCTAGCACCCCTTGATGAGGATTTCGAGTTTATGGAGTTCTAAGACACAAGTTTATGATTTCATGAGAGTTAAGAAGAGATTTTTGGATATAAGAAGAAGTCTAAAGTGTGGATCCAAGTTTCAACTCACCTAGATGATGATCTTTGTGGAAGAACTCCCTTAAATTCCTCTTAGATCTTCGAAAATTTGGAGAGAAATGGAGAGAGCTCCTTGAGAGAAAAGATGAGTGAAATGTTTGTGTGTGTGTTTGGGATTCGGCCAAGAGGGGGAAAGAGGAAAGAAGAGGGTGGCTTTGACAAGATAGATGCTTGGAAGCATGAGTTGCATGCATGGATATCCCTCAAATAAAAGTGAGGTGGCAATCCAAAGTCAACTCCCCCTTATTCTTGGGCTTGGGCCGAGGATGGAGAGGGAAGAAAGAATTTTTGGGCTTTTTGCCCCTAAGCCCAATATTAGAGTTAGTTTGGGTGATCATTGGCCTTATAAGATAAAATTGTGATTTTTATGCTTTATTAAGCTAGATTAGGTTAATTATGGATCAAAGCTTTTAATTCATTTCATTCTAGGCCCAACATGGCCCAAAATATTGAAATAAATAAATGTGGGTCCAATTAGAGCCCATATAAGGGTTCTAAGCCCATGAAAATCAAATTGGAAGCTTATTGGTCCATTTGGGCCCAATAAGGAAGTCCCAGTCCAAAATGGACTTAAACGAGAACTTCTAGGGTTTCCAATTTCTTGATGACCATTTGTAGTACTTGTACGATGTATTTGTTTGAAGTTTTTGATGTCATAATAATAGGTATCACACATGCTCATAAGTTTTTTTTTATTCAACCTTTACTTGAGTTTAGTGATTACAGGACACAAAATTTCTAGTTGGGACAGTAGGAGCCGAGCAGCCCTGCGTACTCAGCAAAGTGGATCGAGTTGACCTGTTGACCTTGACCGTTGACTTTTACTTTGACCATGGTTGACCAAGTTTGACTTAAGGGTGTTTTGGGTATTTTGAGCTATAGTTGAGTCTTGGTCTCTATCTATTGAGTAGGTAATTTGTAGAGTCGGTATTTGGAGTAGTATGTTGTTCAACTATTGTCAAAGTATGAGGTGAGTTTTCCTCACTATATTCGTAGGTTGAAGGCACTAATGTCGGCCCACTAGATTATTTATCCTGGTCAAGATAGTGATATGACAGTTTGTAGATGTTCAGTGGATTCGTATGATTCTTTGTATTTGTTGGCTCTGTGTTTATGTTTATTTGTTACATATGTCGACGTGTTGTGTTAGGAGGAGGCGGTCCTGCTTTATGTTGTAGGCCAAGACACACGGGGACGACCGGATAGGCTGTAAGCCCTACGAGGCGGTCCAGTCAGGCCGACAGCCCATAGAGCGGTCCAGATAGGTTGTAGGCTCTGCAAGGTGGTCCAGTTATGCCAAAGGCTCATAAAGTGGTCTAGATAGGCTGTAGGCCCTACGAGGCGGTCCAGTCAGGTTGGTTGTTCATATTGTATGCTTTTTTGTTGTGGTGTGCTGGTATTTTGTGGGAACTTACTAAGCTTTGGCTTATAGTTTTATTTTATGGTATCAGTTACTTTCGAGGATCATGAAAAGGCGAAGGCATGCTGGTACACAACTTCCTGTTTTTATGTCTTCGGGTGTTGGGAAAAACTATGGTTTAAAATAATGCTTTTGAAACAATGACTATTTTTGTAAACAATGTTGATTAATGGTTGATTTTGAAAATTTTAAATTTACTTTGATTTTGGAGTGTTACAGTATCCTCATAGAAATTTGTTGGTTTAATTACAATTTATTCAAAAGACCAAGTTTCATCCTCTCGTGGGCAGTTATTCTGAATCACATCTTTTCCCGATGAAGATTTTTGGTTTGATATTAGAGTAAATTACACGAATAGTCCCTATGGTTTAGGGTAATTTGCACGTTTGATCCCTAACTTATTTTTTTAACTCGAAAGGTCCCTACAGTTTATTTTTGTTATACATTTGGTCCCTATCTTATCTAAAAAGACTATTTTGCCATTGATTTTTTAATTTATTTAAATAAACACACCCCGAACTCCATTCCCCCCACCTTACCTTACCTATTCCACCATTTTTCCCTATTTAAATAATAGTCTTTTTAGGTAAAATAGAGACCAAGCGCGTAACAAAAACAAATAGTAGGGACCAAACGCGTAACAAAAACAAACAGTAGGGACTTTCCGAGTTAAAAAAATTAATTAGGGATCAAACGCGTAAATTACCCCAAACCATAGGGACCATTGATGTAATTTACTCTTGATATTAACTTAGTGGAGAAAAAACCCTAATTTCATAAACTACACATTTCATATCAAAACTATATGTGTACTTGGAAAATTGTTATATGACATTTTATACCGATATATTGCCTTAACGATATTTAAATTTTTTAGAAGTTGGAACATGTTGTGCAATTGAAGTCATAGAACCGACACCATTAAATATGCCAAAACTAAATTTAAGTTTCAAACTACAAATTACCTTCTTCGTAAAAGCATGTTCGAAAATCATATTGAAGTTTGAAAAGTAAAAAAAAAAAAAAAAAAACATTTTTAAACCACATTTTTTCTTAAAATTAGAATTTAAGAATCATAATGGAGTTTGAAAATTACATATTTTGAACTCCATGGTCATTTTAATGTTTAGAAAATCATTATCTTTGATATTTAATAATTTAAAAATTATCATTTTGACGAATAACCCTTATTTTTTGTGATTTTAGACTTTAGTTCCTTTTATTTGTTATTATGTTTCCTTAATGCCTAAGAGTCTTGGTAGAGTTTCCAGTATTATAAGTAAGTAGTCTTGTGTTGATTGTTTTGATAAAAAAAAAATTATAAGAATTCTGAAATTTTTTGGAAGAACATTGATTGACTTCAATATTCTTGAGAGTGGAAGTTTTTACTTTTTGCTTTTTCCGCTCATTTTTGTCGCAAAAAATCATTCAAACTTGCAATGGAAACTATAATTGTCTCCTCTTATGACATCAATAATTCATTGAATTCTATAAATTTCAATAGATTGTCATATATTTTTATAAAATTCTATTTTTTCCTTACATTGCATTAAATTTTATAGAAATTCAATGAAACATTTATTTAAAACTTATTTTTCGTTTTTGAATTCAATGGCTATGGAACTTAATTTGCATTGAAGGCATCATTAACATCTCACTATGGTTTAATTTAATCTATTATACCACCAATCACATCTCCTTTAACTATTTTATTAAACTACACATTATAGATTCTCTTAACAACATAAAAATTTTATATATTTGGTTATCTTAAAACAATA